ACGTTGAGCAGCTGCTGCTGCTCCCGGGGGGGGGTGCCGGAGTCCCGCAGTAGCAGCGGCAGCGAGTAGGGCCCGGCGGGCAACTCTGCCAGCACGGCCAGCACCGCGTGCGTCACTGCGGGGGGATGGAGGGGCACGGGGTCAGCGGGATCAGCCCAGCACGGCGGCCCCCCGACCCCGTTCCCCCACTCCCTCACCGTTGAAGCGGGTGACGCTCCAGTTGCGGGCGAGCTGCGGGTGCTGGGGGCTGAGCTGGAAGTGGAAGGGCGCTCCGTGGGGGGGTCGGTCCCGGTCGTTGGCCCCCAGCAGAAGGGTCCCCCCCCGGCCCGGCCGCCCGCACACCGCCCCCGACGGCGGCTGCAGCTGCGGAGCGTGGTCGTTCACCTCCACGATCTCAATGGACAGCGTGCCCGTGGCCGAAAGAGGCGGGTCGGCTGGGGGGGGGGAGGGGGCACGGAGAGAACCGTCAGGGGGAGCGCCCAAAGGTGAGGGAGGGGAGGGGGGGGGACAGCGGGGGGGAGGGCGAAGGGACGGTCACCGTCATCGCGGGCGAGCAGCAGAGCGATGTACCAACCGCCCTGCAGGAAGGCGGACGGGTCCCGCAGCTCCCGCTGGGTCCGCACGGTGCCGGAGCGCGGGTCGAGCTGCAGCCATCCCGCAGGGTCGTACAGCAGCGCGTAGCTGTCGGCGCCGGGGCGAGGAACGCCGGCGTTACGTTCTGCGCCCCTTCCACGTGCGCACCCGAAGACGCCGCGCGTTTCCCCCCCCCCTCCCGCACCGCCCACCCCGCACGCTCACGTCAGGGTCTGCAGGCGGCGCGTGTCGGGGTCGCTGGCGGTGTAGGTGGTGACGGCGGTGCCCGGGGGGGTCCCTTCCAGCACGCTGACGCGCCGCGGGTTCTCGCGGAAGACGGGCGCCTCGTTGACGTCCCGCACCCGCACCCGCACCGTGGCCACCGCCCGCGGGCTGCTCGCGACCCCCGCCTCCAGCGGCCGCTGGTTCTGCACCGACACCGTCAGCTGGAAGCGGTCCCGCACCTCGTGGTCCAGCGGCTGCGCGGGGTGAGAGGGGGGAGTGCGGGATCAGCGGCTGCGCCGTGCCTGCCCGCATCCCCAAAGCCCGCCGCCCTGCTGCACACCTTGGCCACGGACAGCACGCCGTCGTTGGTGTGAGGATCGGTGCGGATGGCGAACGCCCCCTCGGGGTCGCCCTCCAGGATGGTGAACTTGGCCGCCCAGTTGGCAGATCCGGCCAGGTCCTTATCGTGCACCAGCACTCGGCCCACCTCCACACCCACCGCCTGCTCCTCCACCTCCATGGAGAACTGACAGGGAGAGGAGTCGGCACCAAGCGGGGGGCTGCGGCCCCACACCCAGCCCAGCTCTGCCCACCTCCTCCTTGGTGAACTCGGGAGCGTTGTCGTTGATGTCCTCCAGGTAGATGACGGCGGTGGCGGTGGTGGTCAGCCCATCCCCAGACATGTCAGCTGCCTGGAGGGTCAGGTTGTACACCCCCACGGCCTGCGAGGAAGGGGATGGCGCTGAGCCCACAGTCCGTGGAGCCCCCCCACACCACATCTGGTCCCACATATGGCTGTGGAATCCTCCCCCCCCCCCTCCCCCCCACACACACCTCACGGTCCAGGCCGTCCTTCGCGGTGCAGATCTCCCCGCTGGAGGCGTTGATGCTGAACATTTCCCCATGGCCCTGCTCCAGGATGGAGAACCGCAGCGCCGCGTTGTCCGTCTCGGGGTCGTCGGCATCAGTGGCCTCCACCGTCAGCACGCAGGTCCCTGCCGTCACCACGGGGCTGGGGGACCACTTATGGGGCCGGGTTGCGCCCCCCCAACCCATCAACACCCCCCCAGCTCAGACCCACCTGGCGCAGCCCCCTCCACCACGCGCCCGGTGAAGACGTCGTGGCGGAACAGCGGCCTGTTGTCGTTCTGGTCCACCACGATGATCTCCAGGTCCGTGGGGTCCTCCAGCGTTGTGCCCCCCAGGTCCAGCGCGAAGGCCTTCAGCTGTGGGCACGCAGAGCCCCGGGGTTGGGGATGCAGCTGAGGGCAGGGGGGGGCAAGGGGCTGCGCAGCATCCTTACCCGGAACCGGTCATTCTGCTCGCGGTCCAGCGTGGCGTTGAGGAACACTTTGCCACTGAACTTGTCGATGGAGAAGATGCCCAGGGGCTCCTCATCCACCCCCGGCCCCTTGATGCTGTAGATCACCCCCCCGGGCTGCTGCTTGTCTGACTTTATCTGTGCGGGGAGGAGCGGCGATGGGGCTGGGGGCTGTCCTCCCCCATGCCATGGGGGTCTTTCCATCCCCCCTGGCCCTGCCTACCTGCACCAGGAGGTGGGGGATGCGTTTGTGGTTCTCGGAGATGCTGATGGGGGGGATCACCCAGGCCCTCTTCACCCGCCGGGACCCCTCGTGGTGCCGCCAGCCAGGGGGGCTGCCCAGGGCTGCGCTGGCATCCTGCAGGGGGGGAACGTTGGGGAAGAAGAAGAGTTACATGTTTGCATGGGTCAGGAACACAGGGCTGGGGGGGCAGGGAGGCGTGGGGGCTACAGAGGGGTTAGGAAGAGGAGCGGGGGCTACAGGGGGCTGCAGGGTGGTTACAGTGAGGTGCAGAGCTGTGCTGTGGGGTCTGCAGAACTCAGCAGTGAGGCTGAGATGGGGCTGACCCACAGCCCCCTTTGTGGGAGCTCAGGACAGGTGGGGAGGGGATGGCAGTGCAGTGGGGGCAGCCACTGTGTGACAGCCCCCCAGGGCTGCAGGGCCCAGACCAGAGCCCCAGTGGCCTCACAGTATTCAGGGCTGAAGCCATACTGAGGAGCTCCACACAGGCAGTGGGGTGTGGGGGGTCCGGCAGCACCGCTGGCGGGGGGGGGGGGGGGAGGGGGGAATGAGGACAGTGAGGTGATTTCAAGCCCCCCCCAAGCTCCATCTCACTGTTCTCTGACATACAGGGTGAGAAACACCACGCTGCTCCCGAACCCCATCCCCTCCACCCCCAGGAAAGCGCATCGATGGGGGCCAGGGCTCCGCGCCCCCCAACCCCACCGCTCCCCCAGCACCACCTCGCTGCCCCCCACCCCCTGGCCCCATCCCTTACCCTGGCGCAGAGCGGGGCGAGCAGGCAGGCGAGCAGCAGCGGGGGCCCCATGGCGCAGCCCCGGCCCGGAGCGACAATAACGGCGGGGACGGCTGAGTGACAGCACATGTGCTGAAGGGGCCGGGCCCCCCCGGCCGGCCGGCAGCTGCCCCGGCTCCCCCCCCCGCTCCTCCCGCCCGCACGGCTGGACCCGACGTGGCGGACGGCTGCGGGGGGAGCGGGGAGGTCGGGGCCGGCCTTTGGGAGGGGGTCCCGAGATGCGGGGGGCGACGGGAGGGGTGTGGGGTACGGGATCCCCCCCGCGCTCGGGAGGGGAATGCGGCAGCTGTCGCCGGGTGCGCCCCGGGGATGCCGCGACGGGGCGGGCGGGCAGAGCGCCGCTGCTCCCCTCGCTCTGCACCGGGCCCGGCCTCCCCCCGCCTCCGCCTCCCGGAACGGCCCCGCCCGCCCCGCGGCCGCGTTGCCGGGACAGGTGCGGGGCCATCTGTGCTGACGGCGGGCGCTGGGCGGGGGGCCAGGGCGGGTGGGAGGGGGGCGGTGCGGCCTTCCCGGCCCTGACAGCATCGGTCCCATCCCCATCATCATCCTATCCTCACCCCCATCCCATCCCATCCCATCCCATCCCATTTCCAAAAGCCCTACTGACATTATCAGCCCCATCTCGCCCCTGTCAATTCCATCACTATCAGCCCCATCCCCATCAACTCTGTCCCCTCTCAGCCCCATCCCATGAGCCTCGTTCCCATCAGTCCTGCCTCCATCGATCCCACCTCATCCCCAACAGCCCAATCCCTGCTATCACCCACGTCCCATCCTCATCATCCCCATCATCCTCATTCCTAACCCTATTGAACCTCCATCCCCATAGACATCCCAATACTATTCTCCTTCTCATCAACTCATTCCATCTCCAACAACATTGTCCTTGCCCTCATCACCCCCAACCCCATCCTGTCCTGTCCTGTCCCACCCCACCCCATCCCCAACCCCATCCCCATCCCATCCCATCCCATCCCATCCCATCCCATCCCATCCCATCCCATCCCATCCCATCCCATCTCATCCCCACAGCTCGGCGAGGTGGTGGCACCAGGTGGCAGCATCGCTCCGGCCACCGCTGTCCCCGCACCCGGGGGGAAGCACAGCGGGAGCGGCAGGAGCGGCCCGAGGGGGGACGGGCTGCAGCCGATGCCCCCTCCCCAGGGCTGGGCAGGGGCCGTGTCCCCTGTCCTTTGTCCCTGACAGGTGAAGGTGCAGCGTTTTGGTGACATGGAGTGGCAGTTCCGCGTCCCCGTCTGGAATTCTCCCTTTTGGGAGTGCCCTAACCACACTCAAACCCCCCTTCCCCTGTCCCCCCTTTTCCCACAGCACAGGGCATCTACTGCAAAGCTCTGTGGGATAGAGGTTAGGAAATGGGGCACGGAGGCAGGGGACAGGGGACAGTGCAAAGAACATAGGACATAGGACAGAGGAGGTGAGACACGGCACATGGAAGGACATCAGACATAGGACATGGGTTGGGGACATGCGAGAGGGGACATGGGACGAAGGCTGCCCTGCTCCCATCCACTGAAGCCTGGAAGTAGCAGGGCTGGGGGTGGCCGAGGGGACACGGTGGCACTCACTGGCCCGTCCCCATCCGTCCTCCTGCTCTCACCCACCCACCCTCCTGCTGCCACCCCACACAGCCCTGCAGCCCCCCCTGAAGGAGACGGATGGCTTCACAGCCCGTGGCCACCACACGTAATGGAACGGTTGTGCACACATGATGGAAGCATCCACGCAGACATGGCTGGCAAGTGAGAAGTGCTGAGAGACTCAGGGGGGAGTGGGGGGGGGGGTTGCACACAGCCCCACCCCCCCAATGCAAGGGAAGCAGAGCACCTGGCTTTGGGACACACATCCCCACAGTGGCGCTCAGCTCCACACACCAAACTCTGCCTTGCTCAGTGGGCATGGAGGCAGCGTGACCTCACATCGCCAACCCCATCCACAGGGGACACGAGGACACCCCCGGGCCGTGTGAGCCCCTCACTGCAGGGTGACAACCAGGTGTTCTGCACTATTTGCTACCTGTGATCATCCATCAGAGCCATCGATTGCGCTCCCGTGGAGTTTTATTAATGATCTTGTCACGGCGCCGGCGCTGGGTGCCGGGCTTGTCGGGAATGATGGATCGTGAAGAGCCCTCGCTGCGATTTATTCTCCGGTGACCTTGTCTCTCCCCATTGTTGCTTGCTTAAGAGTTATGAATGTGAGACATGATAATTTGATATTGATCTATTTGGTGAGTTACAAAATTTACTGCGTCGCTGATGGCGTAACACAAAGGATCGGAGCGGGGCCGAGCAGGAGCGGGGCTGGGAGCCCTCCTGTGCTGGGGTGAGCTGGGCACAGTGCTCCGTGCCACCATTACCTTCCCTTGAGGTTGCTGTGTGTTCACCCATCTCGTTTCTGGGGGCTTTGTTCCACGCTGAGGAGCAGGGAGCCCTCGGGGCAGAGGATGGGGCTCCCAGGCTGCGCACTACGCCGGGTAGAAGCGCTGCAGGAGCTCCTTCTTGTTGACTTTCCCCATCTGGTTGCGTGGGATCTCCTCCACCACTATCAGCTCAGTGGGGATGGCGTAGGGGGCCATGGTGTCCCTGCAGTGTGAGCACACACTGTTAGAGCCCAGCCGAAGCCCCTCACCACTGAGACGCCCACCTCTGGGGGCTGCTTCTGTGTGTGCCCCCACTGCGTGTCCCCAAGGATGCTGACAGCTGTCCTGCTGTGCACGGCAGCGGTGTGGCACGATGTCCCCGTGCCCTTTGCAGGACACAGTAGGGAAGCTCTGCCTTCTGTGCTGTGTGTCACCAGCTGGTGCCGTGCCCAGCCACTCAGTAGGGTGCTGGCACTGATGGTGACACGAGGTGCCAAGTGTGCCCGTCGGCGTGGCCCCGCTGCCATATGTGTCATGAGAGCCACAGAATGAATCACGCTGAAGAGGGACATGTGTCTCCTGCCAGGGAGCGAGAGAAGGGCCGAGCAGATGGAAGTGACGTGAGAAATGATGTGGAGAGACAGGGCGAGGGAGAGCAGTGCCCACAGCCATGCCCTGCTCAGCACCAATGGGACACCAGGACACCAGGTGGCACAGGGGGGACCTGGCAAAGCCCCAGCAGCACAGCGAGGGTTTGGGCTCTTTGTTTGGCCCCCGCTGTGACTGCCCCAACCCTGGTGGCTGCAGCCACGCCGGCAGCTCATCAGTGCTGCTGCCTGGAAGCAGTGAGTGCGGGGTGCTGCAGCCCTCACCTGGCCCACTCCTTCAGCTCCTTCACCGACAGCATCTCCCCCCTGCGCAGCTGCACCACGGCGCTGACCCGCTGCCCCCACACCATGTCTGGGGGTCCGATGACGGCCACGTCTGCAGACAGAGCAAAGGATGCGGGCTGAGGGGCTGGGGGCTCATTCCAAATGGAGCTGCTCTGAGCCGGGGGCCGGGCTGCGGAATGCAGGCACCGGCCCCAGCGCCGCCCCGTGGCCCCACACTTGCCTACCTGTGATGTGCGGGTGTGCGAGCAGCTGCCGCTCCACCTCCAGAGCGCTGATTTTGAAGCCCCCGTTCTTGATGATGTCCACCGAGGTGCGGCCCTTGATCCAGTAAACACCGTCGTGGTAGGCTGCCGTGTCCCCTGGAACACAAAGCGGGATCCCTGAGAGCCCCCCACGCCATCCCACACAGCTTCCCCGGGGATCCCACGGATGGGTGCCAGCCTCCTGGCGCGTGCCGGGCTGCCGGCAGTGAGCAATCAGATGGGGGGGGGCAACGTCAGGAAGATGAGTGCCCCACTGGAGGCTCCATCCCCCCCCTGGGGTGGGCGTTGGGGGGGCGGGTGTGTGCTGGTAATTCCTGCTGGCACGGGGGAGGGGGCTGCAGGAAGATTGAGGAGGGGTCACGGCAGCGCAGCCCGGCTAAATGCTTAACAAGCTGTTGCGCTTTGATAGCTACTTAAGATGATTACTCACATCCTGCTAATAGCGCCTCCGCCAAGCGGTGGGTGAGGAGGAGGGGGCTGTGCCTTCAGATGGCAGCACGGGCTGGGGGGGGCTCTCAGTGCTGCCCCCCGTCCTCACTCTCATGGCACATCTCTGCCTTTGTGTCTCCCTGCTGCCCAAGGCAGCTCCCAGCATCCCTGTGCCCTCTCCCTGGAGACGGCAGAGGTGACAGTTGAGGTCTGGAGCACCGTGCGATGACACCAGCTCCCGAGCCCTGCTCTGCTGCCCATGCATTCCCAGCACAGGAGCAGGAGGTGCACACGGATGTCACCCTGTTCCTGCACCAGCAGCTCTGGCTGTGGCACAGCTGCTCCCTGCCACCTCTCCGTGCGGCACTGTGAGCTCCTCGGGGCACAGCCATCGATTACAGCCACACGGGGATGGAGAAACGGGTTGGTGAATCTGCATCCTGTGACCCCACACCTCGCTCCTCCCGTGGAACAAAGCCAGCAGGCAGCAGCAGCCTCAGGCACACGGCACAGCGCCGGGGCGCAGCTGATGCTGCGAGGCCGTGGGATTATTGTTTCCCTGACAGAAGCCATCAGCACTGCCTTTGGATTTGTTTCGAGACGCTCAGCGGGCATCTGGTCGGCAAGGTGCTGGCGATGTGCTTTGCTGTGTGCTGAGGAAGCTGAGCTGGGGGCAGGGGGCTTGGCGAGGCACGGGGGCACAGTGCTGAGCCCCAGGATGGGGCCGGGCATCTCCAAGTGCTGCCCACATGGAGAAGCTCCATGGAACACCTCCACCTCGCAGTGCTCAGCCCAGTGGGCACTGAAGGAAGGCGAGCAACCATACAAGCTTTGTCTTTGGTTTTGGGGGTGAAAGTGCTTCTGTTTATAAGCGAAAAGCTGATTACAGAGAGTTCCTTGGATGTGACTGCTACAGTCACACGCACGCCTTGGAAACCCTACTGCAATGGAAACACTATTTCCAAATGCAAGGTCCAGAGATTTCTGCAGTGTTTCAAGTTGCAAAGCGCTTGTTGCAAAGGTGGAAGAGCCCTCGTGGCCTTTGGTTTGCAAAGCAGAGAGGTCTCCCAGCAGCAGTCCTAGGCTGAACAGAAGACTGCATGGAGCAGCGCTGCAGAACAAATGCTGCCCAGTTCTTGTGCTAACAGCCCTGCACGATGGTCAGCGCATTGCTGGCAAACACTGCAGTGCTACAACATCAAAGGTGCCATCAGCAAACATTTGGGCAAACTGCTGACCGAGAGAATGCTTTGGCTGGAGAAATGAAATGCTGGAGGAGCTCTGAGACAGAAGAAATGTACAAAAGGAAGCCCTTCAGGTGAGCCCAGCAGAGCAGGGACTGGGTTGGGATGCAGAGCCAGGGCTGAGCTGGGAAAACCCAGGCACTGAAGTCAGATTTACAGAGCACAGCCAATGGAGAACCCGTTCCACGGCTCCATGATCTTTGAGGACCTCGGAGGGTCCGTCCTGTGACTCTATGATCTGGAAGGTCCTTCCAACCCAGCCATCCCACAGCTCCACGACCTTCAAGGCCCCTTCCTCCCCCGCCATTCCACGGCTTTATGATTCCATGGCAATGCCACCCCTGCAGCCCATCCATCCCTCCCGGCGCGAGCTCCCAGCGCAGCCCCAGGTTGCAATGCTCAGGGATCTCATCCCACTGCTTGAGAGCAGCCGTGGGAGGAGATGGGGGCGGACAGGCAATCAGCAGGTGAGCGCTGAAGGACTCCTGTGGGAATTAACCCAGCCCCCCCAGCAAAGTGCCCACCCCGAGGGACGCGCATCGTTGCGGACACGCACACCTTTCCCTCCCCCTGCACACTGCAAAGCGCATCGATAGATCCCCCATCTGCTCGCATACATCACACACTTCACTCCGGTTTATTAGCTGGAATAAATCATAAATATTTCATTATACATCAACGACGCTCGGCTGCGGGAAGGCGCAATCCATCACCTCGACACTCCTCGCGACCTGCCGCCACGCAATAAGCTTTCCAGTCTATTAAACAAGATTGATACAGTGTGCCGGGACGGACTGGGGGAATTTATTTATGGAGCAATGGGAGAGGGAGGCACGGAGCACACGGCGATGCGTGGACACGCCGGAGCTGCTCCCGTTACCTCCTTGGAGATGGCAAAGCCCCCAGCTCTGGGGAGCAGCTCTGTGTGCATAAAGCTCTGACCCCGCGCTGCTCGCTGCAGTGCAGGTCACTGCGTGCTGTGCTGGGGTCCATTGGAGGCTCTGAGGGCGACGCATGAACACGCACCTACCTAACGAAACGCTGTGACTAAATAGCAGGAGCAACTACAGGTTGATTTATGGCATCGGGATGAATAATGCGTGTCACTGCTGACAGACATCTTGGCTACGAACAGGCTGCTCCAGAGGTTAGAGAACAAATTGTAGCTAATTAGCAGCAATTAGCACCTCTGAAATGTGGGATTTGGGCTCTGTGTGGAACGGGCCTCGTGCAGGTTAACTGCCCTGGGTGCAGGGGATTCTCTGCTCACCTCTCCCGTGCATTCAGCATTGCATTCAGCGTGCACAAAGGAGCCCCTCAGCATCCTCCCCTCCAAACAGGTGCAGGTGGAATGTCTCAAATGTGCAAAACTCCCAAATGATCAACAGCCACAGCTACACCAGTGCCAGGAGGAGAGCAGAGATGGAGGGGCCCAGAATCCAAGCCGTGTGCCAAGAGTCAAGCTGGCTGCAGCATCTCCTCATGCAGGGGTGCTGGAGCGAGCTGCTGCTCAGACAGAACTGCTGACATGCAGCAGGGTGATGCAGGGCAGGATGGAGCTGAGGTCTGGCTGCCTTGCCCCACTCCTCCCCTGCTCCACCACTGAGCTCAGGGCTCCCTCAGCTGCCAGCACACCAAGGGCAGTGGCTGGTTTGTGCTGCGAGCATTAATAACGCATCAAAGCTGCTGGAGGGGGAAGAAAGCAGGGGAGGGGGAAGCTGGGACTTCTTTAAGAAATGCATGCATATGGATAACGCAGCAATTATTAATGAGGAAATCATCTCCCTCCCCAGCATCTCCCAGGGCTCTGGTTTGCTTGGGTGAAGTGCAAAAGCCCCTCCAAAGGGAGCGGGTTCTGCAGCCCAACCTGCAGCCCAGACCCCCTCCACAGGCAGAGCTTCACCCCCCGGGTCTCAGTGCTCTGCTCCCCGAGGTCAGGGTGAGGACTCCCCTATTTCCCAGATGAGGGTTTTGCCTTCACCCAGCCCAGCACTGGGGGGGTTTGCTGCTGCCTGAGCTGCCAACGGGATCAGGTATGGGGATGGTGGGAGTCTGCAGCAAAGACAGACGTCCTAAAGTGCCCCCATATGTGGGGCAGGGTGCTCACAACACTGGGGGATGATGGGTGGCTGTCACCCTTTGCAGACCATTGAGGCAAAGCTGGGCTGTGAGGCTGCTGCAGATCGGTACCGGCACAAAACCTGGAGGAGATTTAATGGCTCACAAGAAAGGAAATAAATCCACTGGAGCAGAATCGCTGTTTGTTTGCGTACCTCGCCACGCTCACCAGCACGAGCAGCAGCAGCAGGTGGATGTGCAAGCACCATTTATTTACATAATAAAATTGCCAACGAGATTTGCAGCTCAGGGGCATCCTCACCTCCCTGTGCACGCGCCTGGCTCCCACCAGCACTGATGGCACACGGGCAGAAGATGGACCCCTGCCCACCCTGCCTGCCCACCCCAAGAGCTGTGAGCTCAGCAGCCGATTCCCCACTTCCAAACTCCTGCAGGCAGCACTGGGAAAAGGAAAAACAAGGGGAAAAAAAAGAAAACCCTGCTCAGCCCGGAATGAATTCGTGTCACGCTCTGTGCAGGGATTGTCTGTTTGCATTCTGCGTGCGGCGGAGCTGCGTGGTGAGAAAGGGCAGAGCCCTGCAGAGATGAAAGGCTGCACAACCTCCCCTGGCATTTCCACCTGGAACAAAACTGCACCCAAGGGCATCTCCCAAAGTGCCGTGCTAGCAAGGCACCGCTCGCTGAGCACAGATGGAGCTGCTACCTGCAAGGAGAGAGCTGCAGATAAGAGAAACCTGATTGCTGGGTGGTGATCCTGAGCCCTGCTCCACGTGCTGCTCCCAGGGCACACTGGGGACCTGCTGCTGGCCTCGTCTTGCTGATACATCAGTGATCCCTCCCCTGCCCAGCTGCAGTCTTACAGCTTCTGGAGCTCGTTGCAGCAGAGCAAGATGCCTGGATGATGCTTGCTGACCTCACACTGTACCCAGGTCTCCCCTCAGAGCTTGCTGGCTCTCTCAGCTCCATTACTGCCCTGCAGCTCACTCAATATAAATCCCCTGCTGCGTCCTGCACCCCAACCCAGCCACAGGTGCCATGTCCTGTGCCACCACAGTGAGACTTCTCTGTTATTTGGACCCAATGAAGGGTTTGTCCACACTGCCCAGCTGTGTTGGCTGGGCACGACACTGCCCCATTTTCTCAAGGAATCTCAGAATCACCGAATCATTCAGGTTGGAAAAGACTCCTACAGTTCCCAAGCCCAACCCCAACACATCCCACAGCGCCCACAACCACATCCCTCAGTGCTGCACCTCTGCAGTTCTGGGACACCCCCAGGGTTGGTGACCCCACCATTCACAGCCCAGTGCTGTTGGGAGAATCCACATTTCCTAATATCCATCC